CGCTTTAACCAACTCAGCCACCATGACCCTACAGATCTTAATTTTTTGATTGGCCTTGTTAGAGGAAGTTGCGTTGTTCTCCGCTCATTGCCAAACTTCTAATTATACATTGATATTTCTTAGTTTTGTTTTCTCTGTTTCCTCGTTGGCTCCTTCACCACAAAAAAAAAACACAAAGTTTTTAAATCAAAAGAACCCAAGCTAGAGCGTGTTTTGCCAAGAAAATACTGAGATGTACCGGCAGCATCGTCATCTCGTCATCTTTTAGATGACACTATGCTACTCCCCTAGGACACCAACCTCCAGTTCGAGGATTGATGCGGGTTTCTCTTACGACGAACTGGGTTTTCCGAAAAACTTATTTCGCGCCCGGAGGATTTAATCGTTGGCTCTCTCTTTTCTTTCTTCGTGCTCGTAAGCAGCTCGCACCAACAATACTAGGGGGCTCGTCCACTGGCCGCCTAAAGCGATCCCGATAGTGAGGGAACCCATGCAAAGTATTGTCAGCCTAATACGCGATCCAAGTGCAGCGTAAGCAAGTTACCACACTTCTGTCGAGAAAAATTAGGGGACTTTTAGATGCTACTATGTATACTCTTTGCGACAGTTTTTATGTACTGTTACCAAATCTGTATCCCTTAAACGTTCTGCATGTTCATCTTCTCTTTCCGCACTTGCGTCTCTCAAAGCATCTATACCGCGTTTTACATTCACTGTAACACCTTTCGAGAGCAATTGACTGCAAATAAAACAAGACTCATCCATCGCGATGGTTAATTAAATCACAGAACGAAACGTCTAGACTTCTTGCCAACTAGATTTGAACTGACTTACATCGATTAAATGCGATTAACCGGTCGATCATGGTTGACAGATAAACAATGAAGCAAATGTCATTTGGCAACCAATGGTTATTAAATGACGTTCATGATCTTTGACCTTAAATATCTGAAAACGCAAGCGCGATATTGATGGGGACTTTTAAGACATTATTTCTTGAGGTAAAATAAAGGTGTAGACAAAATTTAGGCTCACTCAAATTTTTTCAGCAGATGCTGCTTTTTCCGGCCTAATATAACTGGAGTATATAACCCTTTGGATATTGGGTAACCTGCAGGATCGTTCATCCGAGGACTTAATAAAAGACGCGTTCTTGCTTAGAAGTTCTGTATTGGATTCGTTGTCAAAATTGTGTTGCATTACCAACTGGGTCAGTGTGACCTGCTTATTCAGCACACCAATATTATATTGGTTTAGCAATTAGGTACAGTGAATAATAACTATACAGAGTGTGCACTATATGGGCACCACAATATTAAAGATGCAAAATAAAATATACAAACAAATATTTGCTCAATATGTTATCAATGATCTTGAAAATTGCATTCCAAAATTGTCTTTTGAATTAATATTTTTATTTAAATATTATGTTGATGACATAATTTGTTTTCTGATAAAGAACAGGAGATCACTATAGGAGAGTTATTGGACGTGCAATAAAGACATGCAGTATTTGAATTAGCCTTATTTTGACATCTGCGAATGCGCATTCGGGTCTGAAAATAAGGATTCTCTTAATAAGGTTACTGCTTGTCTTTATTTGTGTATGGTTAATGCAAGGCAGTAAACTTCCCTTATTTCAATATTTCTGACTATTTGACGACTTTGATGTTACGCTTTTGTCGATTGTTCATAACCTAATTTATTTTATCAAATTTTAATGGATAACAAATCAACCAACTAACCCAAACCAAAACAACTGTAGGTAACAAAAAAATGGGTATCAGCAGAAAATCACAAACAAAAATAAACACTTTTTGAGGTTAAAATTTATAAACATAGCTATCAGCTGTCAAAATTATGAATACAAATTAGTATTACAAAAGTAATACTCAACACATACTACAGTTTTTCAATAACTGTTATTTTCTTGGAGAAATAGTGCTGATGCACTAATAAAATAATGCAGATCCTTAATCTGGGAGGCAGTATTTAATAGTTCCAATAACTCTTTAATATTTTTTCATAATTATAATATAAATATACATTTTACAGTAGAAAATGGAATAAATAACAGCGTTCCATTTCTAGATACTAAATTAAAAAGAAACACAGACAATAAAATTTTCCTAGATTGGTATATTACCAATTATTTCAAGAAGATAAATACACTACTTTTCATATAATCCTGAAACAACAACAATAAACTTCATACTTGATATGAAATGAAAAATATGTCATCCAACATTAAAAAAATATATCTAAAAATTCTTAAAGACAAATTTCTTATTTCTTGAAAATTCATGACCTGAAAAATTACTTAACAAGCTGATTTTTTCAACTAGCAACTCAAATAACTTACAAATTAATAATAATAATACTAATGATAATTTTTTTCCGAAAAAAAAATATAGAGCTTTGCTTACATTAAATTCTTAACTCCACAAATTCCCAATATAGCCCAGGGTCGATCCAGTCAAACCATGAACAAATTAGAGACAAGCTGAAATTTGGTTTACAAGTTTATATTGGGGTCCTCAAAATACTACCAAACCTTACCGGTAATCGAACGTGCCTGTCACCCCCAAACAACCCCTAATAGGGATGAAAATCGGACTTTTTTAGTTTTTTGGCAATATCTTAAAAACAAACCTATTTACGAAAAAATATGAAGAAAGAAAAATTAAAGAGCATAAAATTTCCTATAAAATCACGTTTACTTATATTTTGCTCTACTAGGGGCGGACTTATGATATTTTTGGACACTGGGTATTTTGTAAAGTAAAAATACTCTCTAGCCATTACTTAATGGATTTTTATTAAATATATCTAACATTCTATAGGGATATTTTGGAAAATACATGTGAAATATTCTTCAGTCAATAAATTAGAAATAAAAAGCATACCTGTGGAGTACTAGTACTATATTTCTAATTTCATACATTAATTTGTATGAGCTAGTAGAACTTTAATGAAACAAAATAATTATTTTATGTATCCCTGGAACTTCTCTTTTCAATTTCTTCTTATCCAACATAACCAGGTCCCTCTGGTAGCTAGGCAAAATATAATCTAAGGCATTTTACAATCCAAAAATATATCCAAAGACAAATTGAGGACCTTAATTTCGATTTTCTTTATTTTCGTATAAGTACGCCAAAAATACAAATGGTTGGAATGGAACTAAGAGTAATGGAACAGGTGTATTGCAGAAGCTGACCACTGGTCTGAAGGGGATGGCCAACTTATGAATCTTTGGGAGTTCGTACAGCCTTGGCATGGTTGGGTTGCGTGGTAATGGGAGTTTATTACTGTTATGCAGTTTGATGAATTTGGAATGTTTCCTAATTACTCTCTTTGTTCTATTTGTAAAACTGGTGAAAGGGTCAGCTTGTAGATTTTTAAAATTATTTTCAGCTTTATCTATATAATCGATCTCTTCAAGATTACCATGCATATGCCTTTATCTGCTTTAGTAATTATCAATTTGTTAACATTAATTTTTGTTTTTATGTTTTTTACAATATTTGAAGTTAGTGAATTGGTTGAGGTATTCTTGTTCAACTGAGCATTTAGAGAATTGTCCTAATTTTTTTTTATTGGTGTCGTTGTTTGAAAAAAACTTCATATCCATTCCCAATAAGTCCAATTCATCTTTAGAAAAGACACAATTAGACAAGCTTTTGACTCTTACATGAAAATTGTTGATAAACAACGACCTACTGTCCCTCAGCCTCTTAAGCTTGCTCTCCAATTTATTAAATTTAATGAGCCTTCTGGATTGGGTCGAGTCGAAGATATCGTTAAGTGAACTCAGGTATTCTTAGTATATTTGCTCTTGGCCAACTTTAGCAATCAGATCACCAATAATTATTCTGATGTCGCTGGTGTAGCTTGATCAAAGGCGCTCAATTGATCATACAACATGTCTTTATCCTTATCCGATTTCTCTTCGGTAGGCGTGTATATTTAGAACATTAATGTTCAAGAATTCTCCCTTTATTCTGATGATATGCATTTCTCTCATTAATGGCTTTGAAGTCTATCACTAGGGCTCTAATTTCTTTTGCCAGAACAAATCCACCAGTACCAAATTGGTGCTGGGTAGGATGGCAGTTGTAATATAGAGCAAAACTCTTTTTATGCATACCTCCTTTTCCAATACATCGTATTTCTTGCATTGCCACCAAGTCAGCACCATACGAGTCCTCCAACAATCTAAGAGATGCATTCTGGTATGAGGCTCGTACAATCCATGGAAATAGTTTCAAATCATTATCCTTTAAACGGTGCTTACGTCGTCGTCGATCAATCCTTCCGGCTATCTCTGCTTGAGTTTTCGTAACAATATTTTTTTGAAAAATGGATTGTTAGCCCGTCGCCAACTGTCCTTTTCGGGGGACTATTTCACCTGCTCTCGTCTATCCCTGACCCATCCTTCCACCCGGTTTGGTTACCGGATCTCCAGCTGGGTTGCCCATTATACAGTTTAGTGATTTGTCATAGTCTCTTGCTTAGGCATCTCTCGATTTCTTCGGTAGCAAGTTTTGTCTTGTTTTCGTGCTTTTTCTACAATTGCGTGAGTACTTAAAGGAGTTTCCTTTTTTAAATTTCTGCTACTATTAAGTGATTAGTTTCTCCGCATTTTTCAAAAATGTGGCCGGAGACGAACTAGGAAATTGATTGTAAAAACTGAAATAACTTTTCATAAAATAGAGATTCATGTGAAACACACAGCCTAACTTTCAACTAATAAAATTCAAAAGAAAAAAAACTGAAAATAAAACAAAAATGAGACGGTTCCAAGACAAATCTTCTCTAGGAAAATCGTAACGTTGACGGTAAAAAAAACCAATAAGAGTGGACAATCGTCAGCGGTTCGAATAAAAATACAAGAATTGGGTCCCGACCTGGCGGCTCCACATACTTGAATTACCTATGTACCTTTTCCTTCTCTTGGATATTTTTCAAGCAAAGCTAATATTTTTGTCTGTTTGCAGTTCCTCCGATGTTGTCCATTCCCAATCAACTGGAGGGCGCTTACGTCGGCCAAGACGTCACTCTGGAGTGCCGCACGGAAGCGTTCCCAACTTCAATCAATTACTGGACCACCGAACGAGGGGACATGATTATCTCAGGTAGTAAGTATTGTACCGCTTCTGTTACTGCTTGTTAAAGCAGGTCACGTTAAGTGCGGTCAAGTGCACCGCATGTTTTTATATGACTACAGGGCATTTAAGCTATAACTATTTGTGACCATACTATAGCAACTTATCAATTAAAAAAAAAAAACACAACGCAACTCCAACAGGCATATATTTTGATGATAGTGGAAGTTAATGAGCGCACCTACATATTATTTTTAAAATGTTATTGCGTACTTACTTACCGTCCACTTGGAAGGCGCAATTAAAGATCTGCGACAAATGTATGCCCATTTGTGAGAAAATATTTTCAGGAATTGTGACTACTGATGAATTGCGATTAGGTAATTACTCTCAACATCACCCTTTTGGGTCCTGTTTTTAGTTTCAAACTGGGTTTATTGTTCGTAAGAATCCACAATCGAATAAAAAGTTATGCGTCCATCACTTTCCACCATCTCGAATTTTAGCACATTTGTCATTTTTTTAGGTTTCATGACATCCCTGTAATATAAGCTCAATTTCAATTTTTGTAAATCGGACAAATATTAAAAAAGTTACGGGCAAATAAAATCCAGCGCGACCTTTTTGGTAACTCTATTTCTAAGAATAGGGCAGGGTTTCTGAAAGAATACGCGAGCTTAGTCACCCTGTATAGAATATTAAGCTTATCTAGGCTATTTATTTGCGAAATCTAAAATGAAAATCCCGATATGTAGCTTGCAGGGCGCTATCATCGATAATAATTTTTAAAAGGCTTGTTTTATGATTTGCGGACACTCTTTACTGGGTCACCCTGTACAGTTACAGATTTGGTGCAATGATGAAAAATGCTTATTTTTGCTAGTACTACAATATACAAAATTTTTAGAAGAATCGACCGATCCCCGAAAACCCATAAGATGTGTGCGATGTCCGAAATGATTTAAGCATTTTCTGAAGAGTTGATTCAGATACAAAATCAAACGCGTACTATAGATTTGTGCTAAGTTTTTATTCAGGTACAAATTTGGAGAGATTTATTTCACGAAAAATTCTCTAGAATTGAAACTCAGTTAGGTGTTCATGAGTTCCATTCATATTTGATTTCTTGTGTCGTATTTTTGTCTCTGATAATGTTGATGGTCATATTGGATTGAAAAGTGACTCGAGAAAACCTTCTGGTGCTAATTTACACCTCGAGATTATTCCCAAGTTCATCTGTCTTGGTTCGTGTAGAAGAAAACGATGTCTCGTATTATACAGGGTTGTTGGTGCATCGTTTGCCAAATTTAACTACCCGAAAGAAGAGGCCATTTGCTAACTCTTCAGCCATAATAACTCATCCTTTACCACCCGGCTTTTTTTAATTTGATTTTTTTAATTGAATCTCAAAATTTGCCATTTAAACTTAAATTAAGAAAGAAATTGTTGGCCTAGCCTACAAATTTTATTTCGATTTTTATATGTACTGTGGTATGGTTCCACCAAATACAAAATTACTTGCTATTAACGTCTAGTCTTTTTATTATTAACTGATAAAATTTTTGAAACAAGTTAAAATAAATTGAAAAGTGAAATTTCCATTGCAATAAAAAAAAAAACTTAAGTCGATCGTGATCTTCAAATTATCTTAAAAAGTTCTCTATTTTATCCCCTTTCCAGTGATATGCAATATGCCATAGGAATTTCAACATCGTCAATAATTTTCTAAATTTGTGCATTGGAACACTGCAGGATGATATTCGATATTCGGGATAAAAATTTATTATTTCGTAAATAACATGCGCTAAGTGGGTAGGAAATGATATCTCATTGTTGCGCAGTGCGTTGGACTAAATCTTCCCTAGTGGTAACTTCCGTTGCATAAACAAGGTCTTTGGCACGTCCCCAGACATAAAAATCTAATGGAGTGAGGTCTGGGGACCGGGGAGACCATGGAATAGTACCATTCCTTCCAATCCATGAATTGGGGAATACATTGTTCAAGTATTCTCGGACAATTAGATTCCAGTGTGCAGGACAACCGTCATTTTGGAAAACAATGGCCCTGTCTTCATTGTGAATTGGCTACTGAGCTACCAGTTCAGGCAAGGAATTCAAGGCAATTAACCCCGTTAAGATGTTCAGGTGAGTAATGTGGTCCAATCACGTGATCTTCAATTACTCCTGCCCAAACGTTAACCCTATATCTTTTCTGGAATGATCGTTGTCTTTTTACATGTGGGTTGTGATCTTTTGGTGACCAGTGATGTAAGCTGTGTAAATCAGTATTCCCTCTTTCGTGAATTTACACTCATCCGTCCATATAGAATACTTTTTAAAAAGGCAGGATCATCTACATCTGGTGTGCAGCAGAAGACGACAAAACTGGACACGGTTACCAAAGTCATTATTCTCCAGACATGCGCCAAAGAAAATACGCGGTGACAAACCGGCAAGGGTTTTTTTTATTTCGAATTGGAATGTTAAGCACAACCAATATGCGCTTACATGACACCAGAAGCCCGATCCTCGGGCCAGGGAGAAGAGCTCCCCGATAGAACGAATGTTTTGTCTTTGTCAACGTAATCGAAAAGTAAATGAGAATGATAAAGACGAAAAATTTGTTCTCTCGAGGAGCTCTACTCCCTGGCTCGAGGATCGGCCCCCTGGCGGAGTGACGTAGAGTGATGCGGTGCGTAGTGATGTTGATTGCTTTTCGATCAAGTCATGATAGCGCGTGAGGGTTGTAAGTTTGTAGAGTAGGGTAAAACGCCAGTAATTGACCGTCAGCCAGTGTTTGACCGTTTTCGTGAAAAAATATGAAAAATAAGAATTCTAGGAATATCTTAAGGAGTATGAAACTATTCATAAATAGCCTGAAGTTTTTTCTCCACCCCTTACTATGCAAAACTTTCGCTTTGTCATATCAGATTGTCGTACTTGTTGTGTTTAGTTTACCTCCAACCACAGGCTGTGCACATCGTCTTAAGAAGTGTAATTTTTGAATTAAGAAGTTCACCTAATTAAAGTAATATTATTCATCTCTTTTTGCATTTTTTATATATTTTTTGCTTTGTCGGTGTTCTAATAATAGTTATCTATTGTTTATATCAAAAAAATACCGCTTTAATTTATTTTTTTGTCAAAGTACAGCGGGTCAAAGACTGGTATAGCTCTAAATTTGAATAAAAATTAGTGTTTGACCAATCGGTCAAATACTGGAGAAACTATGAGATTTATTACCTCACAACTATTGAAGATGGGTGTATAATAGAATAAATTCCAATATCATTTTTTTTTTTAAATTATATCTTCCCCTTTAAATGGTTTAGTATTCGACCGAAATTTTATGCTCTATAAATAAGATACATGCAGTTTAAATGTTCAGTCAATAACTGGTTCTTTTTTGGTCATTTATTGGGCAAAAACAGGTCAAACATTAAGTTTGTTAGCAGGCTTCAAGTTTTATAAATATTTTAGCCTAATATAAAACATAATGCAAATGTTTGTATCTTTTCTGTTTTTTTAAACATTCTTCATCACGACAAAAGTAATTGACCGCACTTAAGTAGGAATAATCTCTGTAAAATAAATATAATATATGTTTGGTCAAACACTGGCCCCTATAGGGGTCATTTACTAATAAATTGGAAATATATGTAAAAAATTTAGGAAATTTGAACCACGATTCCTTTTTTTTTCAGAACCATTATGTCAACAAAGCCTAAATTTAAATATAGTATGGAAAAGATCTTCAAAAGGCCTCCGATGCAAGAAGTAGGGGTTTATCTTATGAAAAAGCAGCCAAGATGTGCAATGTACCAAAGTCAACCCATGCATGCATTTTTTAAGAATAAAAATGGTTTTAAAATATTATTTCGTATTATCGTTCTATTTGTCAACTTTTAAATCTGGAAAAGAACAAATAGAACATTTTATGATAAACAAAATAATAGGGAAATATAATAAATATACCAAAGTATTACTTCCAAAAAATGGTCAAACACTTAGAGTTTTAAGGTCAAAGACTAGATAATTTCGGTCAACTAATTCAATTAAAGTGGTCAAAGACTAAATATCCTAACACCGTTTTCTTTTTTCATTTTTAAAAATTCTACTTTATGACGGTATATTTAATATCTGGGGTAAGTAACTTTAACTGAATAACATGTATCTTTGATCACATTTTTGATTATTTTATTTGATTGTATATGTATCTACCAAAAAAATAATATGGCTCGGTCAAACACTGATACTAAAAAATCCTTAAGCGGTCAAACACAGGTGCGTTTACCCCAATGACATCAAAACACAGATAGACCGAACAATAAACAAAATTTTCGTATGACAACATCTCTCTGTCTCTTTTGGGTCTTTGTGCTATCCCCACCACTGAGAATGCCAAATTTTGTCTTGAATCCCTAAATAATATATTTTTCTCCTCTAATTAACATTTTCAATTTTATTTCTGAACTCAATTTGGCAACAGCAGATTAAAGCAAAACACCGCCCAGAAGCGGCTTGTTGCATGGCAGGCAGGTGTTGATTGTAGTAGCTAGCTATCTTTATTGCAAACAGGGATTTTTCATTAGCGTTAAACAAGAAACGACTAACACGATATTGGTACTCCCAGAATAAAGGGCTCGTATCGAATATTTTCAGTTTATTTGTCAATTTGTTATTTTATTTATTCATCCAATTAAATTTCGAGATATATTCACGTGTGGGCGGGGTTTTTTACACCATTTTGAGCAATGATGTCTCCCTACCCCGACCCCGCGAGCAATTCACCTCCCCTGGCCCATGGGTGGTCTTGTCAACACAACAAATAATAGTTTATGAATGGGATGATCCGTCTATCTGTGTTTTGATGTCATTGGTTTACCCTAGGTTCTTTATTTTAACGGCTTGTGACTGTATGATAAGTTTTTAAAAATTGATGTCCTTACTGAGAATTTCACCGCACGCCCCTGCTGTTGGTATACGGGGTGGTATTATTATATCCGTTGACAATATTAATAGAAGGTAGGAGA